GCCTGGGTACTCTGGGGTCCTGCCAAATAGGAACCTTCACTTCCACAGCACCTTCTCCAGTCTAGGAAGTCCCTCCTTTTATCTCACCCAACCCTCTCTTGCTGTTGTGGAAAAGAATTTCTGACTCTAGGCCAGGTGACCCCTGAGTCTGGGCCCCTCCCCTTTCCAGGCTTCCCGGCACCCTCTCTCACACATCGGGGACCTCTGGGAGACTCCACAGCTACGGGTATATCCCTGAGAAAGAACCCCCTCCCCCACACCATCCTTCCCTTTTTCTGTGTGTCTCGCCCTCTTCATCCTTAGACCTCCCCTCCGCCCTCAGGAACACGGTGGCATTGTTCCCCTGGACGGGGCCCTGCCTCAGGGCCTGGACTGGTGCCCAGGTAGGGGGCCAGGAACAAAACCCAGCCAAGGAGGGGTAGGATGCCCTGTGTGGCCACACCAACCTCCTTGGGCATGTCGGGCTGCCACTTGGCGTTCTGCAGGCAGGACAGAGGCGAATGGACCCCAGCGCACACTGCACCATGCCACAGCACGCACGGGTCAGGGCCTTCCCAGAACTGGGCGCAGTTTTTCTAACAACTTCCAACAAAGACTGCCACGGAGCCCCATTTTGTGCCCTTTGAATAATGCTAGGGGAGATGAATGGCCCGGCACATGCCAGGTGGGGCACTCCAGGGACCGGTTAGCGGCTCAGCTCAGCACTCTCACACTTTGGGGTCTACATGGAGTTGGGGTTGAAGCCATACCAAGTTGTCACCCCAGAGGCCCAAGCCCTGGGGACTCTTAAGCTTCCTTCCACGTGGGGCCCAAGAGGCAGGTTGGCCCAGACTGCAGAATCTGGCAGGTTGGGGCATGAGAGAAAAAAGAGCGGCCCACCCGTCTGGGGCCCTGGGGGAGGATTTGGGGTGGCACAGAATTCTCCAACACAGGGCGGGCCCTGGAAGCTGTGAGAGATGGCTTCAGGGCCCCCGAGGAGGTATAAATGACGACAAAAGGTTGGACTCCAGAGGCTGAGGCAGGAGAATCACAGGTTGAAGACCAGCCTGGGCTGCAGAATGTGACCCTGTCTAGGAGGTAGGAAGATCAATTCAAAGGCATCCTTGGGATACATGGTGAGTTCGAGGCCAGTTTGGACTGTATGAGACCCTGTCTCAAAAAAATAAAAGAGATATATAAAGGGGGAGGGAGGGAGAGAGAAGGGGGGGACATGGTCGCACGGGGTCCCCTGGTGTCCTGTGTACACACCATTCACACAGAAGAAACACACAGACTCTGGCACAGACAGCCTCTGGGGTGTGCCCTCTACTCGCCCCTGTGTAGGCCCATCACCCTGTCCGCAGATACACATTGCCATAGTTTCATCTGTCCTCTGTGGACTCTCCTTTTTTCTTTCCATTTTGCTTTGTTGAGACAGTCTCACCATGTACCCCAGGCTCAAGTTGCTTGGGGACTCATGAGCCTTCTGCCTCAGTTTCCCCAGTGCTCAGATGGCAGTCTGGCCTGGGGACACCCATTCACCAATGAATCGACTGGTTTATTACTCTCCTGAGTGGCTTGGGTCAGTCTGGCTCATGCAACAACTCCCAGCCCCAGAGAAGAAATCCTGACCCTCACTGTCTGTAGCTGCCCCAGCCCAAAGCCAGGAGCCAATGGGATCCCAGCTCACCAAACTCCGCTATTGATTCTTTTGTCATATAAGAAAATGGAGAGGTCCGGGACAGGCTGAGACCAGACGCGCGCACATGCACACAAACACACAAACACATACATGCACACACCACACACACACACACACACACACACACACACACACAGCTGAAATGTCTGAGTGCCGGGTCTCTAGTTCTATCATCCTCTAGCCCACAGGAAGTGAAACATTTAGATCCCACCAGGTTGGTGCAACAGGGAAGGGCTGGATCAAGGGACCCTGTCAGGTCTGAAGGTCGCCCTACAGGTCACCCGGGAGCACTCGGAGGGCGCCCAGGGCCCCATGGCAACGCAGCACAGAGACATCAAACAGGGAGGCCGCACGTCACTGCGGTCAGGGAGGCTCCTCCCCACTGGCTAGCGGCTGGCTCCTCAGGCCGTCAGGCAGCCCGCCTCCTGTCGCCGTGGCGACCGGCTGTGTTGTGGACTGTCCCGGGCCCACCAGATCCCTGCCCCCTCGCTGGGGCACTGCCGCTCCCCGCATCCGGGGCGGGCGCCCAGCTCTGTCATTCAGCCGCCCGTGTGCGGCCTAGTGCCGGCAGAGTGGCCTGCCTTTTGCGGCTCAGAGTCCCCTGGGGACAACAGCTTTGCCGGGGTCTCTGGAAGGGTGGATGGCCACGGAGTGGGTAGTTGCCAGGATGCTGTTGGGGTGGATGTCACAGGAATGGCCAACAGGCTAACTACTAGGACGATGTTGGGGTGGGTGACACGGGAGTGGCCCCCGGGGTTGGGTAGTTACCCTGACGATGGGGTGGGTGACACGGGAGTGGCCCCCGGGGTTGGGTAGTTACCCTGACGATGGGGTGGGTGACACGGGAGTGGCCCCCGGGGTTGGGTAGTTACCCTGACGATGGGGTGGGTGACACGGGAGTGGCCCCCGGGGTTGGGTAGTTACCCTGACGATGGGGTGGGTGACACGGGAGTGGCCCCCGGGGTTGGGTAGTTACCCTGACGATGGGGTGGGTGACACGGGAGTGGCCCCCGGGGTTGGGTAGTTACCCTGACGATGGGGTGGGCGACACGGGAGTGGCCCCCGGGGTGGGTGACACGGGAGTGGCCCCAGGCCTAAACCAGCACCAGGGACTGGCATGCAGCCCCGGCCAAAGGAAGGAGGGGGAGGCGACAGAAGATGTAAGGTTTGTGTGCGGCGGCCGCTAGGCGCAGGAGCGCGTAGGGTTAAAGAGAACCCTTCTCGGGGTCTCCCCTCCTCGACCCCCCCTTCCGGGGGATTTCGGGGCCCCAGCCCCTCTTACGTCAGTGCGGTTGCTATAGCAACCGGCTGCCTTTCCCAAATAAAATTACTGCGGGCGAGCAAAGTTTCCTGGAGTCTGCCATGGAGTAAACAATGGCAGGGGAGGGGCTCGGCACTGGGGTCCCGAGGCCGGAGCGGGGCGGGGGGGGGCATCCCTGTCCCAGGGATCTGGGAGATAGGTCCGGACAAGGGGACTGAGTGCGGACGCCCCCGCCGCTCCCACGCGTGTGCACTTCCTGTCGCTGGCTCCGGGGGGAGGTAAAACAAGCCGGCAGGCAACAACCGGAGCAGGGACAAGGAGGACCAGGCCCACCGAATCCGCCAAACCCATAAGCCAGGGACTTAAAATGATCCCCCACCCCTTCCCCCGGCCTCACCTAACCTCTAAAATGGGAACAGATCCGCATCCATTGGCTTCTGCCAGGTTCAGGGAGGGACCCCAGGTTAGGGCCAACGCCAGTTAAATGACTTGTGTGCCAGGTGTGCTTGCTACCCCCCTCCAAGTAGGGTTCCCAGATCTCAAAGCATGCAGTTCCATTTGAGTTTTTGTTTCACTGGCCAGGGAGGGCATGTTTTGAAAGACAGGGTCTCCTACTATAGCCTAACCTGGCTTGGAACTTAGGCTGTAGTTTAGGTTGTGCTAAAACTGACAATCTTCCTCCCTCAACCTTCCAAGCGGTGGGATTACAGCCCCAGCCCATAGTCTTGCTCTGCCTCTGCTTTCTGTCTGAGTGTGATTATGAGTCAGGGGTAGTGCTGCACGACTGCAATCCCAGTCCTTGGGAGGCCAGCCTAGTCTACACAGTGAGTTCCAGGACAGCCAGAGCTACACCGTGAGATCATTTTGAAAAACAACCAAAACAATGTGTCCTGTGCAACATTTAGTAGGCAGAGATACTAAGACAAAAAGTTACACTAAAATTGACTTACTCTATCGTAAATTCAAATGTAACTGGAAGGGCTTTTTATTTCATTTGTATTTTTTATTTTTATTATTTATTTGGTTTTTTTGAGACAGGGTTTCTCTGTGGCTTTGGAGGCTGCCCTGGAACTAGCTTTTGTAGACCAGGCTGGTCTCGAATTCATAGAGATCCGCCTGCCTGTGCCTCCTGAGTGCTGGGATTAAAGGTGTGCGCCACCACCGCCCGGCTTCATTTATATTTTAATTAGTGGATTTTTTGAGACAGGGTCTTACTCTGTAAACCTGACTAGATTGGAACTCACTCTGTAGACCAGGCTGAATTGTAGAGATCCACCTGCCACCGACTCCTTAGTGCTTACAATAAAGGTGTGTGCCACCACACACAGCACGAAGGGTTTTGTTTTTGTTTTGTTTTTCTTAACACCAGACTGGGTTTCTCTGTGTAGCCCTGGCAGTCCTGGAACTCGCTGTGTAGACCAGGTTAGCCTCGAACTCAGAGATCTGCCTGCCTCTGCTTGTGATTAAAGACATGCCCAACCACTGCCTTGTCCGGCATGAATTTTTTTTTTCTTGGTTTTTCAAGACAGGGTTTCTTGTGTAGCCCTGGCTGTCCTGGAACTCGATTTGTAGACCAGGCTGACCTTGAACTACCTGCCTCTGCCTCTAGAGTGCTGGGATTAAAGGTATGTGCCACTACCACCAGGCTCCCAGCATGAATTTTTAAAAACTATATTTTATGTGTGTTTCTGTCTCTGTGTGCGGTGAAGGCCAGAAGAGGGTCTCTGATTCCCTTGTAGCTGCAGTTGACAGGCAATCTGCTCCTCCCAGGCGGGTGCTGGGCTCTCTGGCTTAAGAGCCCTCCAGTAGCCTACAGCTCTCTACTCCCCACCAGGTCCCTTCCACCCTACATTCTCAAAAGAAGCAGCGGAATCCAGTCCTCTCCCTCTCTCTCAGTTCCATCTCCACTCACACCTCTGCAAGATAAAAATCTTTGATGCTGGATTTTTAGTGTTGAACACTGTTTTGAGATGGGGTGGCCTGAGACTCCCTAGGTAGCCAGAGATAACCTTGACCTCCTGCCTCCTTCCACTGAGTGCTTCTACAGGCACCACACAGCTCTACCAATGTTTACACAGTGTTAGCTCAGAAATAGGGCTCTGAGCATGACAAGAAAGCCCCTGCCAAGTGAGCCATATCCCCAGCCCTGTTTGGTTATTTTTGAGATAGTCTCGGTATATAGCCCCGATTTGCAATCGCCCTGCTTCGGCTTTATAAATTGTAGGATTACAGTTGTAGACCACTGTCTATGCTAGTTAGACATCACCTTCTTACTTGAAGTGGACGCTGAGACATGAGTTTGCTGTGTAGTCCAGGCTTGGTGGAGCTCACTACATTGTTAGGGCTAGCCTCTAACTTGAAGTAGTCTGTTGCAGAATATTTGTTTACACTGTAAAGGTTTGTATCTGCCTAGAGCTAAATGACCGAAAACTAGGCAGGAGGGGCTTCTGGCTTGGGGGGGGGGTGCTGCAAGGAGGAGTCTAGGCTTGGGATTTTGCCAACAGACTCAGACTCAGGGCAAGCCGCGTATGCTAAACTAAGAAGAGGTAACCGAGCCACATGGTAGAACATATCTATATCTATCTATATTATATCTATATCTATATATCTATATGGTCTTCCAGAGGACTTGGGTTCAATTCACAGCACCCACATGGTGGCTCACAACTGCAACTCCAGTTCCAGAGGATCTGACACCTTCACACCAATGCACATAAAATAAATTTTTAAAATATGTATGGGTTAAGTTATAAGAGCTAGTTGGGAAAAAAACAAGTTAAAGCCAAGCTTTCATAATTAATAATATTTGAAGGCTGGCAGTCCAAAGACAGTCCAACAAGAAAGCTTGTCCCCCTGCCTCTGCCTCCCACAGTGATAGGATTACAGGTGTATCATGTTATAGCTGAATATTTTTTCATTTTCTTTCTTTTCTTTTTTTTTTTTTTTTTGGTTTTTTTGAGACAGGGTTTCTCTGTGTAGCTTTGGAGGCTGTCCTGGCACTAGCTCTGGAGACCAGGCTGGCCTCGAACTCACAGAGATCCATCCCTGCCTCTGCCTCCTGAGTGCTGGGATTAAAGGTGTGCGCCACCAACACCCGGCTCATTTTCGTTTTTTAAAAAGGTTTTATTTTAAATTATGAGTATATGGTGTTCTGGAGAGATGGCTCAGGGGCTAAGAGCACATTGACCTGTAACTCCAATTCCTGGGACTTCCACACGGGTGCACATATATACATGCAGGCATGAAAAACTTGTACATAAAAAATAAATCCAAAATTATGAGTGTGTGTGTGTGTGTGTGAGTGTGTGTGTGAGTGTGTGTGTGCGCGCGCGCGCGCGCATGTACATACAAATAAATACAGGCTCCTCAAGACCAGAAGGGGGCATCAGATCCCTTGGGACTGGAGTTCTAAGCAGTTATGAGCCAGAAACTGATCTCAGGTCCTCTGTAAGAGCAACAAAAGTTCTTAACTACTGAGCCATCTCTCCAACCCCTAAACACCTCCTAAGTGGGACAAAAATCATCTCAGGCAAGCCGGTCATGTTCCTACAAGAGGCCAGGGGAGTGATGACTATTTTGGGATGCTGGGAGCCTAGTGACTGACTGACATTGGGTGTCAGGGAAGGTGACCCAGGAGACACAGTGTTTAACTGTCTGTGTGCAGAGCTCAAAGGCAGCACCCAGGTCCAGCATGAACTTGGCAGTCATGCCCACACACTCTAGAAGATTCCAGATATAACAATTCCAGCAACCATCAAATCATCCACCTGGAATTCTGACCTGTATCCTCAAGAGATGGCAATGATCTGAGACTGTTTCTCAAACTAGGAATGCCCAGGTACGTCATAGGTCATTTGTAAACAATAAATTAGCTAGCTAAATGAACCAAACACAGTGGCTCAGGTCTGTAATTCCGGTGGAGGAAGGAGGATTGGGAGTTGGAAGTCATCTTTGGCTACATAGTGAGTTCTAAGTCAGCCTGTACTACAGGAAACCCTCTCAGCCAGGCAGTGGTGTGGTGCACTCCTTTAATCCCAGCATTTGGGAGGCAGAGGATCTCTGTGAGTTTGAGACCAGCCTGGTCTACGAGATCGAGTACCAGGACAGCTTCCAAAGCCACAGGGAAACCCTGTCTCAAAAAAAGAAAAAAAGAAAGAAAAGAAAAAAACAAGAAACCCTCTCTAACCAAGGAACACCGCCCACCGCCCACCACGACCCAATTAATTTGTTAATGACCGATGTCCAGCACCTTCCTAGGACAGGGAAGTTTAGCAAAAAAAAAAAAAAAAAAAAAAAAAAAGGATATACTTCATTGGCAGCCTCTCCCACCCCTCCCCCCAGACAGGGTTTCTCCGCAGCTTTGTAGACCAGGACTGGTCAGGACTCACAGAGATCCTCCTCCCAAGTGCTGGGATTAAAGGCGTGGGCCCCCCCCCCCCCACCCGTGGCAGCCTTTCGATTGCCACCCTACTCAAGCAGGCTGCTTCTAGGAGAACAGCTTTGATTGTCGAGGTCCAGTTCCCACCATCTTTTCTGCAGGGAACCAGGGGTGAGTCTGGTTTGAGAATTCGATTGTGCTTGAACCGACCACCGATGTCTCTCTTTACCCTCTGCACATACAGGACTGCAGGCCTGATCTAAACCCTGACATGGGGAAGGCCACCAGGGGAGAGCCCCTGCCTGGCTCCTCTCCGGGCTGGAGGCTCGAACCCAGACCAAAGGAGGCTGGCGGCGGCCGTTGCCGGGGTAACGCGCTGTTTGTTGGCGCGGGGGCAGGGCGGGCGGTGACTCACTGCGGCGTGACGCGGACGAGCGGGCGCCGGGCGGGCTGGCAGCCAGCCCAGGGCTGGCGGCGGCGACGGGAGGACTGCGGCGGGGGCACAGCACAGCAGGCCTGGGGTTTGGGCTGCTGCCTCAGTTTACCTTTTACATGAGTAAAATGGAGGTCTCGTTGCAGGAGTAGCCGTTTCTGGTGCCTCCACAGACCACTTCTGAGTGTCCTGCCTGCTCAGACCCCTGTCGCCTCAGTTTCCCCACCTACTGAAGGAGACAGGAAGAGGCGACCTCCAGATCGGTTTGAGAGTTCCATCTATCAAAGTGAGCCAAAGGCTAGCACACCCCAGTAGCCCAGCCCGTTGCCACAAGGAGGAACAGGGGGTACAGGTGCCCTCCATGGTTTCACCCAGCAGCGCAAGGCGACGTGGGTACTCCCGGAAGTGGGTGTGGGTCATAGGCCAAAGTAGTTGCCATGGAAGTGACTGTAGAGGACACTTGTGGAAGCTGGAGCAGGCAGCACCTGCTGCGGGTGGCGTCCGTCCGTCCGGAGGGGGCCTGGGCATGAGTCATTGCCCAGCAATGAGGTTGAGTCACAGGGTGGGGTCCCCCGCACTCCCCCCACCAGCCGCTCCTACAAAGGACCTTTGAGAAGAACTCAGCATCCCCGCCCAGCCTCCAGGCCGTCTCTGGTGTTAGTTGTGGGCATAGACACTTCTGGGCTGCCCCCAGGAGGCTGGCCTGGGCCTGGGTGTCTGCCACATGTGTGAAAAGTCACCATCCAGGGCCTAGCATTCCCAGGGAGGGGGCTTCCTGGCCACCAGAGCCACTGCCAGGACAGCAGACGATCTTTCTTTCTTTCTTTCTTTCTTTCTTTGTTTCTTTCTTTCCTTCCTTCCTTCTTTCCTTCTTTCTTTTCCTTCCTTCCTTCCTTCCTTCCTTCCTTCTTTACTTCCTTCCTTCCTTTCTTGCAGAGCCCACGCAGGCACTCAGCAGGCTGAGTCAGGAATAGCGGGTGCTGGAGGCATCGCCCCATCTTCAGGACCACTCTAGCCTGAGGGGCTTCTCTCCTAGAGACCTTGGAGCCTTCTCAGTCAGGACACAGACAGCCATACCAGGCCTGAGGATGCCAAGAAGCCTCCACTTGGGTACAAGGGTTAAGAAGGAGCCAGTAGCCAGCGGTGGTGTTGTACACCTTTAATCCCAGCACTCAGGAGGCAGAGGCAGGTGGATCTCTGAGTTTAAGGGCTGCTGGTCTACAGAAAGAGTTCCATGATAGCCAGGGCTACACAGAGAAACCCTGTTTCAAAAAAGAAAAAGGAGCCATTTGTGGGAGGTGTATACCTTTAGTCCCAGCACTCAGGCAAGTGGCTCTCTGCATGTTTGAAGCCAGACTGGACTACATATCAAGTTCTAGGCCAGCAAGGATACAGAATGAGACCCCAGGTGGCTTAAAAGGTCAGCTACAGGGAGTGGGTGGTGGAGTGGGGGTACCTGGAGGTGGCTCAGCAGTCCTCCAGAGGATCCCAGCACCCACATGGCTGCTCACAACCCGCAGTAACTCCAGTTCCACGGAACCAGATGTTATCTTAGACATGCACACAGGCAAAACAACCATACTTATAAATAAAAGAGAGATTTAATAAAGCATCAAAAGAGCTGTTCATCAGGTGTTTTTATTTTATTTTTTACATTTGTTTAAATTGGTGGCACATGACTTTAATCCCAGCTCCAGCTCTCACTGGAGGCAGAGGCAGGCAGCTCTCTGAGTCCAAGGCCAGACTAGTCTACATAGAGTTTCAGGAAGGCCAGGGATACAAAGAGAACTAGAGTGAGTGAGTGTGTGTGTGTGTTTGCGCTCATGCACATGGTAGTGGGGTTGTGGTTTATGAATGTATATGGGCACTGTGTTTGAATGAATTGAACTCAGGACCTCTGGAAGCAGCCAGTACTCTTTTTTTTTCCTTCGAGACAGGGTTTCTCTGTGTGGCTTTGGAGCCTATCCTGGCACTCGCTCTGGAGACCAGGCTGGTCTCGAACTCACAGAGATCTGCCTGCCCCTGCCTCCCGAGTGCTGGGATTAAAGGCGTGTGCCACCAACAACCGGTGCAGCTAGTATTCTTAATTACTGAGTCATCTCTGCAGCCCCAACCAAGATGTTTTAAACTGGGTCTGGTGGCAATGAAACTTTTAAACAAAGGCGGTGTGGAAGTAGAATTCATGATGCTCCTGGCCTTTACTCTGCATTAGGGAGGTGGAAACAGGCAGATCTGTAACTTTGAAGCCAGCCTGGTCTACATACCAAATTCTAGGGCTAAACAGTGAGAACTCTTTGTTTTTTCGAGACAGAGTTTCTCTGTGAAACAGCCCTGGCTGTCCTGGAACTAGCTCTTTTAGACCAGGCTGCCTGGAACTCACAGACATCCACCTGCTTCTGCCTCCTAAGGGATTAAAGGCGTGCGCCACTGCCCAGCCCAGGGAGAACTCTTTAAACAACAATAACAAGAAACGGTTGAATGCCACCACTTGATTCCCAGTGCCACGCACATGGTGAGAAAAGAGAACTGTCTTCCAAAAATTGCCCTCTGGACCCCACCTGTGTGTCTTGACATGCTGTATGCACCCCCATACATATATCTGTGGAAAAAATAATTCATACACCACTGAATTGGTAATCAATGTGTTCAAATGTATAAGCATATATACACAGATATGGGCAGATGGTCACCACACTTTGTATTATTTGACTTTATTATTGCTGACTAATGAAACCCTCAGCTTAAAAACAAGTAGCTTTTAATGACTCTCAGCTCACACTATCCTGTAGCTCCAGCTCCAGGGGTCTCCATGGCTGCTATACTCATGAGTGCATGTACACATAATTAAAAGAATGTTTGCTGAGTGTGGTGATGCATGCCTTTAGTGCCAGCACCTGGGAGGCAAAGGCAGGCGGATCTCTGAGTTTGAGGCCAGCCTGGTGTACAGAACCAGTTCCAGGGCAGCCAGGGCTACACAGAGAAACACTATCTTGAAAATCCAAAACCAAAATTGAAATAACAAAAATATTTTTGTGGCTTTTGTTGTTTGTTTTGAAACAAAGTCTCACTGGATAGCTCAGGTGTCATGTATGTCCATGTCCCGGCCCCCCACTCGCCCTCCCATAGCATTTCTCTGTGTAGCCCTGTCTGTCCTGGAACTTACTCTGTAGACCAGGCTGGTCTCAAACTCACAGATCCGCCTGCCTCTGCCACCTGAGTGCTGGGACTAAACACAGGAGCCAACACCACCTGGCTGATTTGACACTTTTTTTTTTTAAAGATTTATTTATATTTTTTCGTGAGCGTTGGTGCTTTGCCTGTGTCTGTCTGTGTGAAGGTGTCAGATCCCCGGGAACTGGAGTTACAGTTGTGAGCTGCCATGTGGGTGCAGCTGGGAACTGAACCCAGGGCCTTTAGAAGAACAACCAGTGCTCTTAACTGCTGAGCCAACTCTCCAGCTCTGATCTGACACTTTTAAATTTTATTTTTATGTGTTTGGGTGTTTTACCTGAGTGTATGTCTGTACATCATGTATGTGCAGTGCTCCTGGAGCCCAGCAGAGAGCATCAGATGTCAGACCTGGAGCTACAGATGGTTGTGAGCTATCATGTGGTGAAGGGAATTTAACCTGGGACCTCTGGAATAACAGCCAGTGCTTTTAGCCACTGAGCCAGCATGCCGGCCCAGTGATTTGACACTTTTGAGTCTGCTGCCGCCCACACGGTTACTGGACACGAGATACAACAGGACCCTCCTGCCTCCGCCTTTCAAGTAGCCGGGACCAGGTTGGGCTGTCGTACCTTGGCCCACAACTTTTTACCATCCCCAACGAAACCTTGAGTTTGTTAGTGGTCACTTCTGCTTTGTCTCTAGACACCAAGTCCTGCCACTCTGGGCTCTCAAGAGTCTACGGATACATGGGTCTCAAGAATGGGGCTTCCTCACTTTGTAGGCTTACCCCAGCCGCAGCAAGTGTCAATCCATTTCTCCCGACCTGTAGAGAGACTGCACTGTGATGGGTGGTGATGGTGATGATGGTGATGATTTGGTGATGGTGATGGTGATGATGATTTGGTGATGGTGATGATTTGGTGATGGTGATGGTGATGATGATTTGGTGATGGTGATGATTTGGTGATGGTGATTTGGTGATGGTGATGATTTGGTGATGGTGATGGGGGTGGTGATTTGGTGATGGTGATGATTTGGTGATGGTGATGGTGATGATGATTTGGTGATGGTGATGGTGATGGGGGTGGTGATTTGGTGATGGTGATGGTGATGATTTGGTGATGGTGATGATTTGGTGATGGTGATGATTTGGTGATGGTGATGATTATTTGGTGACGGGCTGGGGGACTGAATCTGGGGCTCCCACACATTAAAGAAATGATCACTACTGAGCCAGGTCCCAGTCACCCAACCCCAACTGCTCTTTTTTTTTCTTTAATTTATTTTTATTTAAATTAGAAACAAGCCTGCTTCACATGTCAATCCCAGTTCCCTCTCCCTCCCCTCCTCCCCCAACCCCACTAGCCCCCACCCCATCCCACCAACTCTTCTTTTAAGCTTGACATTTTTAGCCCAGCTTGGTGGCACACGCCTTTAATCCCAGCATTTGGGAGGCAGAGGCAGGCAGATCTCTGTGAGTCTGAGCCAGCCTGGTCTACAGAGCGAGTGCCAAGACAGTTGGGGCTACACAGAGAAATCCTGTCTCAAACAACAACAACAACAACAACAATAAATAAATAAATAGAAAAAAGAAAATTTTGGGACAGGGTCTATTTAACCAAGTTTCCTAGGCTGGCCTGAAACTCACTTTTTAATCCAAATTGGCTTTGAACTTTGAACCCTCCTGCTTCAGCCTCCCAAGCAGCCAAAAGTCTGGGCATGTACTCGATTTTCTCTCTTGGTGCCCAAGTCTTTATATGGACAGTGCAATAGAGAAGTTCTTAGGAAACAGGCATTAACATGAAAGGGCGTAGCTACAGTAAGTCCCTGGATTCCATTCCCACCCCCACGGAAGGAAGGGAGGGAGGGAGAGAAATCCCCAAGGAAGCCAACACTGAAGTTTCCAGTGAGGGCAGGATGTGATGCAGCACCAAGGAGCCACATGAGGACAGATGGGACCCTAAGGCTTGTTTGCTAGCACTGTTGCCACGAGCCATGTGGCCACTGATTGCTTGAAATTTCTCCAAGCAGCTGGACATTTGGGAGGCTGAGGCAGGAGGATCGGGAGTTAGAGGTAAGCCTGGCTTCCACAGTAGCATACTTTCTCAAGAACACAGACACACCAAAGTGTGTAATAAAAAATGAAAATTAAAAAGCAAAACAACTTTAGTACTTTAGAAAGCATAAATTTTAGTTGATTTCCATAGCCCCACAAGTACTCTCTCAACAGCCCTGCCCCCACAGCCATGACCCCCCCTTGGTTGTTCAGTCCTCCAGACTAGGTCTTGAGCCTTCCCCACACTTGCTGTGCCTCCAGAGTTCTCAGAGCAACAGACTTCACACAACTGCCTGCTGCTTGCTTGCCCCTCTCCCAGCGATGCAGGCAAATCTCACATTTGTTCTGTTCCCTGATAATTATGGATTATGAGCTCAACAGATGCTCTTAGTGAGACAACAGAGGTGAAGACTGGAGGGTGGGGCTCCAGCTCAGTGGTAGTGCTTGTCTGTAGTTAATGAGGCCTAGGTTCAGCCCCTGGTAGTGAAAAAAGCAAACCAAACCAAAGTCCTTGCCTTGGAGCACAGCAGACAAACAGAAGGAAGAGTAGCTGAGGATAGAGTTCAGGGGCAGCCTGGGCTACAGACAAACACTCTCGAGGGCAGCAGAGAAGGATGAAGACAAAAAGGAGGAAAAGAAGGGGTAGGAAAGGGGAGAATGGAGACAGCCCAATACGCACAGCCTCACCATACAGAAAGGTGGCAGCAGCTGGTGAGGACTCAGCAGGTAGAAGAGGTTACCACCAGGCCCTGTGTCCTGAGCTCCATCCCAGGAACTCACACAGAGGAAGGAGAGAAACAACTTTTGTAAGTTGTCCTCTGAACACACACACACACACACACACACACACACACACACACACACACACACACACACGTAAGTATGTGACCAGGCTGGTGTCAAACCCACAGAGGTTCAACTGCTTTTGTCTCCAGAGTGCTGTGGTTAAAGGAAATTGCAGAGACGGGGTTTCTCTGTGTAACAATCCTGGCTGCCCTGTAACTCACTCTGTAGACCAGGCTGGCCTCGAACTCGCAGAGATCCGCCTGCCTCTGCCTCCCAAGCACTCTTGATCAAAGGTGTGCATCACCGCCCAGCAGAAAACACAATTTTAACATCTGTGTTATTGGTACATGTGTGTAATCCCCTCTGGGCTCACTGGTACATGAGTGTAATCCCCTCTGGGCTCACTGGAAAATTAGCCAAGCCTAATAGGAGCCCCAGGTTTCACCCTGTTCAAAGTAAGCAGGTGGTGGTAGGTGAGGTAGTGCAGGCCTTCAGTCCTAGCACTAGGGGTATACAGACCCCTGGAGGAAGCAACAACTTGTGCCAAGACCCTGTCAATTTAAGGCCTGGCAGGAGGACAGAGAGAGAGGTGGTTAATAATGGAGGAAGTGAGGG